TTTGAACTGCAATCCTCCTGTATGAAAGGTGCTATACTTATTAGTTATTATTATTATTATTATTATTATTATCACATTAACGTTACTTTGTATTCTCCCGTTATTCCTCTTCCTCTTTTCTTTTCTTTTCTTTCCTTTCTTCCCTGGGCACCGGGTATCTTTATTAGTTTCGACATGGTGATGGCTAATTATTGTATTATCGTCAGGTAGTTAGCATCTTTTTTTTCCCCCGAGTCACGGCAGGTCAAGTGTCAGTTCAGAAAAACCGAAAATCGCCCCCCACTTCAACTTACCTGACTACGGGGGGGCGCCATAGTTTATGGGCGCTGTACGCAATGTAGGCGTAGTTAAGATTATAAGATGTACTTTTTTTATCCCAAATTGGGAAATTGTTTTATTATTAAATATCATTACTTTTTTGTTTTCTTCCTCCCAATTTTCGGCGCCCCCCCATGGATGGATGTGCCCTTAGCATTCCTCTATTCCAAGGGCCGGCCCTGCACATTATACTTATGCTTACTCAGGAAAACAAGTAATTGTTTGTGTCTCACACACAACCACTTATTCAACATGGAATGAATCCTCAGCAGGGAAAACTGCATCATACATTTCTGATCAACTGACAATTACACAATTAGAGTTAGTCAATAAGGGAAGAACACTGCTGTCCAACATCAGCTCCTCCCGTCCTCCTTTTTATTCTGCTTTACATGCGATCTTTTCTTATCCTCACCAACCTCTATGAATGCCTACTTGAATATGTGTCACCCTTTTCTCACGGTTAACTGTGTGAAATGTTTTTTTCATTGACTTCCTCACTAAATGTGTATTATTGAACCCGTATCTTGATCTTTTGTGCTTTTGTCATGACAAATGTCTCTTGGTTTATCGCACATTGCAGCCTCATTAAAGAGAGACAGTGGCACCAACCTGTCTGCGTTTCAGACTCAGCTAATCAATAATGGATGCCCCCGCAAAGTGACTGGCAAAGATTATACCGTCACTATCTCCTGAGTTTCTGGAATCTTGTAGCTGTGTCCATGGTCAAGACCTTTGACGACATCCATGTTAAGTGAGTTAAAGTAGTGGAAATATTACTCAGCTAAAAGAAACGAATACTCATCAGTTGTTTTTCCAGTTTGACGGCAAGTTTAAAACAGATGTCGACCACCAACCATTTTGAACAATTGGTAATGACACATTATAATGCAGTTGTAAGTAACACAAAAGGTAAGGCCATTTGTGATTGGTAGATGATTTCTATGTTGTAACAAGGCTTTTTTTGGCATTGGCAGAAGAGATTTGTCACATTTTTCATGGGCGAACCCCACAGCTCTGCTGCTCATCCGACAAATGCTTGTTCCTCACAAATGTGGTACCATTGGAAAGGTAGGAAAACAGGCTTTCCAACGGTATAAGAGTTATTGTCAAAAAGCATTTTTACAACATAGAAATCATCTACCAAACACAAATTGCCTTACTTTTTGTGTTAAGTTTATATGAAGACACTGAGCAGATGTATGGTAACGACAAAGATCAATACATTTATAAACACCTACATCTGCTTGCAAAATAAAACATTAATTACATGTTTATATTAGGGGGATTTAAAGTTAAATTCTAGCACTGAATGAAAAAAAACACACAGTTCTTGAATGCAACTTCCGATATATTTAGTCAGAAATAAACTCACTAGGTTTCAAAAGTGTAGGCACTGGGTGTTGTCATTATAGTGAGACATGTCTGCAATGTGTCATATGTTTTTCCTGATAAAGATAGTCACCAAATACGCAATCTATCAGGTTTTATTGGGTGCTTCCCTTTGTTCCCTTTGTGTGCCGGAAACAGGAAGTTGTGCAACATAGAGTCAGTTAACCTTATTGAAGACATGGTTTGTGGCCATTCTTCGGTTGAACATGTGGAAGACATATTTTTTAAATGTATTTGACAGGGACAGTGCACATTGATTAACATTTCTGTAAATACTCCAGAGTTAGCCAACAGGCAATTTTTCAATCTGCAGTCCCTGGACAGATGTTGAAAGTCATCCTAAAAAAAAATGTCACTTCAAATGACAGGTCAATACAATCAGTAAAACAACATTCAACATAGATGCTTATATTATGATAAAAGCATATATAAAAACAAAACAAAAAGTACATATTCACAAAGCAGACAGATAGCAACAGGCACATGTGTACAAACAGAGCGTTGTAAAGTGCAGATTGTGACTGTGTTGACAGAGCTGATTTTCCACGAAGCATGTTTTTAAATTAGATTTGAATAAACTGCAGGTGTTTTGTTCTCTAATCGTTACTGGGATTGAATTCCACTGTTGTGCAGCTTTAAAAGAAAATGAAGATAGGCTGAATGAGCTCTTCCTTAATGGAACAACACAATCTCCTCTTGTTGCAGCTCTTGTTGACCTAGTTACAGGTTTGCGTATGGTGATAAAATGTCTGAGCGGAGGTGAGGTAAGGCCGTGTATTATGTTATACATGAGGCAAGCATTTGCATATCTAATTACATTTTCCCAGCTCAACAAGTTGTATTTTGTGACGATTGGGCAATGATGAGAATGAACTGATTTCTTATCTACTATTTTAATTGTTTGTTTGTATAATGATTCCAGGGGTTTAAGAGTGGTTGTACAGGCATGTGAGGCATCAGAGCCGCCTCTGATGTACATGCACTCTATGGTTCTATCTCACGTCACCTACTGCTTAACAACATGTTTCTCCACACCCGCCCCGAAAGGGTTTTGTCATTTTTAGAGCCACAGTGTTAGTGTCACACAAATGTTGCAACACGGTTACAATTGGGCAACCTCCTCAGGCCAAACATCATTAGGTCATTTCAGTTATGCCTTCACTGTGAGCTGAACGGGGAAAACGAGGAAAGTCAAAACCTGACTTTAAGGTTTAAAAGATCATATCTGAGTCTCATGACTGTCTAACTCTCCCACTGTGTCTCTGCCTCTTTGTCAATGGCCTCCTGTGTTGTGCTGTGCAGAGGCTGAGGAGCATGTGGCTCTGTGTCTCTGCCACAAAGGGAGAATGGCCTCTTTTGTGTACAAATGTTCTATATATCATTACTTGTATGCCAGGGAAGAAGAGCCCTGATATGTATAAACCTGAAGAAAGACATACACTCTGGTCCAAAACGTGCCATACTCTCCCAAGTGTCTACAAATATTTAACACCCTGTTGTAACAGTGAATGAATTCTCTTGTTGTCCTCTCCACATTCTGACCCTCCTCCTCTCTGCGGAGGAGCAAAACTTCTAGATGAATACATAATTGATGAAGCCATTTATCAACCAGAAGTTTACTGCTGTGTGCTTCCCACATCATGACTACTTTATTACTGTACAAGAAGCAATGAAGGACCAAAGGGATCGGAAGTTATCAGTTTTATTTCACAAAGGAGAGTGGCAATGTACTGGCAAGTCTCTCTAAAGGCATCTCTGTTCTTTGCCCTTTTGTAGCACAAATACTTCTCTTGTACAGCTCCGGGGAAATACTTTTATAGGTTGTTTCTACTGTATCACAGGGGGTTATTTTTATATTTCTGATTATACTGTAGACGTCATCCTCAGTCAAGTTGGAACTGAAACTTATGGGCTCTCAAATGAAATGAAATGAAAATGATAATAGAATATGCTAAAAAGTGGTTAAAGTATCTTGCTACAAATAAAATAATTAAAATAACAATACAAATAAGTAGTTTGCAATATTCTTTTTTAGATTATACCAGCTAATGAGCAATGTCTACGTCTCTAGGTTCCTTAGCTGTGCAAACACGTCTTGTTTATTTAATCTGGAAACCCTAAATAAAGAGCCACTTTATAATTAAAATCCATTTCTCAGATACTTAGAGTAAAAATGATTTTGTTGAATATTGCCGTGTAGTTGATTTGTGCAAGTAAGTTTGTGGGTCTATATTGGGCGTTGAACATAGAGCAATGACGATGCATTTCTTTCTGTTGGCTTATGCTGGATATTGGGCACAGAGAGGCGTGTGTGTGTGTGTGTGTGTGTGTGTGTGTGTGTGTGTGTGTGTGTGTGTGTGTGTGTGTGTGTGTGTGAGTGTGTATGTCTGTGTGTGTGTATGTGTGTGTGTGTGTGTGTGTGTGTGTGTGTGTGTGTGTGTGTGTGTGTGTGTGTGTGTGGTGTGTGGAGGGTGCATTTGTGTTAAGTTTCTTTCAGTAATGTTCAGCCTTGTAGGGAGCCACTAGTTAAAGTTGAATTATTTATGACACAGAGGAGTTCCTCTCACCACTGCCGAACTGCTGAGAATGTTGACCACAAAAGCTAAAGTGCACAAACAATATGACAGGTCTTTGTAACTTAGAAGCTTTCAGCGGTCTCTATTGTTTCCGGATCAGTTTCATGCATAGAATGACATACTTAAAGATCTCTTACACTCTCAAATGGAAACTGCTGCATAATGAAACATTACAGTTTTAAGGCACGTTTTTTTATAACGACCAACACGTAAGCATTAATTTGACTTAATTTACCGCAGAGTCTGTCATAGCTTCATTTTCCCTTTATATTAATCCATTTTGGATTTTCTCTCTTGTGAATTCTTATCTTAGATTTGTGGAATGTTTTGTCTAAAATGTGTGTGTTTTCCCTCTGTGCTGTCTCTATATTCATCCTCTCTGTCACTGTAACGGGACCCTTGTGGCAGGCTACAGAGAGGGGTTTCTATGGAAACGAGGCAGAGACAACGGACAGTTCCTCAGCCGGAAATTTATTCTGTCAGAACGGGAAGGTGTTTTGAAGTATTTCAACAAGCATGATGTGAGTGTTTTATAACACTGTCTATTTTTTTTACTAAATCTGTATTTGATTTGATGAGGAATGTTTAAATCTGCCGTTGTTCAAAATAAGTCACTCTGAAGATATGCAGTGATCTCCATTCTTTTCTATTCTATTCATATTATAACAATGTTTTTCCTCTCTGTAGGCCAGAGAGCCCAAAGCGATATTGAAGATCAACACTGTGAATGCCACTTTCCAGCCAACAAAAATCGGCGTTAACAACGGCCTGCAGATAACATATTTGAAGGACAACAGCACTAGGAATATCTTCATCTACCAGGAGGATGGAAAGGTGAGGGGCAGTGATGCTGTTTGGGGTTTTTTGGTGGGGGAAGAAAAGAGCAGGAGTGTTTGTAGGAAAAGGTATAAGAGTCCCTCTAGTGGAAATGGTTTGTCATTACAAGTATCAGAAGTTTATTTAAATAATAACTATTAATCCTTAATTGCTAAAGGCTTCCAAAAACTCATAAAGCATAATAAATACAATTGTGACAATATGCTGGTCTCTTTCAAATGGAGCACATCTCCCTTGGCTTTAGAGCTTTTAAAAATGCCATTTAGAAAAAGCTATTTTGTCTTATAATGTGTGCCTAATGTATTGCTGGGGTATTTATGGATTATCAGTGCAGACTTTGTGACTGAGGAGAATATTCTTTAGTAAGATTCTGTCACTAAAAGTCCTGATGTCCTTTCTTGAAGGAAATGGTGGACTGGTTCAACGCCATTAGAGCTGCCAGGTATCACTACCTGGAGGTGGCTTTTCCAGGAGCTTCCAAATCTGAGGCGAGTACAGTACATCTACACATACATAAAGTTCAGGCTGAGAATACCTTCAATGCATTACTTTCTCCGATTTAAAAATGACAAGTAAAGCTAATTTGATTGCCGGACTGGGAGAAATAAACATAAATACTTAGTAGTTCAATTATAAATAATAGTTAAATAAAAACGTTTTGTCACACTATTTCTGGGAATCTGGCTTAGGCCCTGCATACATACACTCACACTCATTGATTACTTATTCACTTTTTTGTTTGTCTAGTTATTGCAAAAGCTAACAAGGAACTACATAAAGGAAGGTTACATGGAGAAGACCGGTCCAAAGGTAATGCAGTTTTCTGTTAATGGAATACTCTTTTTACAAATGATGTATAGGTTAGAGAAATATGCTAAACCTATAACAGTGTCTTGCAAAGTATAAAAGCAAAGTTATACATTTGCTGAATGAATTGAGCTAATGCCATGTTTGTCCCACAGCACACAGAGGGCTTCAAGAAGAGATGGTTCACGATGGACGACAGGAGGCTCATGTACTTCAAAGACCCACTGGTATCCAAACTGTTTGCATTAATAAACCCCTTTATGTGTATGTGACCAGCAGATAGTGCTGTGTTCCTTTTACCTACTGTGCATTAGTCTGTTCAAAGGGAAAATGTCTTCAAAATCGTATTAGATATTCATTTTCCTATTAGATCTAAGGTAAATCTAGCTTTTGGCTTTAGCGCCCCATAGTGAAAACTACAAATCAGTTTTTTTTGCTTAATTCAAGATTATCAAACCCTGTGTTCCTCACTCCTCTGCCAGGATGCCTATGCGCGAGGCGAGGTGTTCATTGGCAGTAGGGAAAACAGCTACATCGTGCTCCCGGGCTTCTCCTCGAATATCCAAGGCTACCATTGGCAGTTTGGAATCACCATAGTAACCCCAGACAGGAAGTTTCTCTGTGCGTGTGAGACTGAAGAGGATCAGAAAGACTGGATCGCTGCATTTCAGACGGTTATCAACAGACCAATGCAGCCTCAGGAGTATGCAGGTGAGTTAAACAGCCAACTAAGTTAAATCGTTACTTAGCTCTTTTTCCCTCATTGTTGGAGTCTGATATATTTTTTTATATTCTCTCTGCAGTGGAGGCCTACTTTAAGCACAAACCATGACTGTCGTAGTGTTTGAACACCTGTTGGTGCAGGGAGTGGATCTGTCTGGCCTGAGATCTGTTTTTAGTCTCATTATTGAAGTCTTCATAAAGTCTTAAGGGTGACGAAGAAAAAGACCTGAAGGTGAGACCGTTGGCATTCCCACAGTGACTCCTTCACTGTACCATCCTGCTCAGAATCACTCCTAACTCCCTCATCTGTTATGTGATGTGACTTACAGTATATACGTGAAAGAGGTCAGTCATCTTGACCTTAAAGTGCAAACAATTGCTTGAAGGAATCAGAATTGTTGCTGCTCAGATGTCAAAATACGTTTTTCTATGTTCCAAGTATGAATACTTAAAATACTTTGATGTTTAATACAACTGAAGAAGCCTTGCATTTCAACCAAATGTACAAACAGAGCCCTTCTGGCCAGTTATATGCAAACTAAGAGATTATCTGACAAACTGCAAAGATTCTGTAAATCAGGAACAATACAAACATGGTCTGTATATACTCATTTGTTTTCATGTAGGGGTATAATATTTAATTCTCAATGTATTTATTTTTGTAATTGTCTGATTTGCTATGTGCATCTTTTAATATATATCTGCTATATATTAAGTGCCAAGTATTGCAGGTTTGCTTTATTTTTGCTTTTTTTTTTTAAATATACATTCATGCAGCTAAATATTAACTGCATTGATTTGTTTTCCAATCGCATTTAAGAATTGAATTCCCTTTGTCAAACCAGTACATATTGTGATCCTTTTCAAGTATTGACTTAAGTGATATGATTATTTATCCAGCAGAGGGAGACAAAGGACAAGCTTTACACTTACTATGACCCCCACCCAAAACTTGAGGGACTTGAACTAGCCCAGGACTAAATGCACAAAAGAGAGGTGTGCAGATGCTTTTGCGCAGCATCGCCTTTATATAAAACGAGTGCCCTGCTTAAGCGTCACCAACACTTTATTCTCCACCACACAGCGTTTTCTAACTCATGTTCTGAACTCACTGCGAAGTTGTCTGAGTAAAGCTGAAATGGGGTCACTATTAAGGATAAAAGCCACATTCCCTGTGTTTTATTGTAGTTAACTTTCAGTTACAGGGAAGAAGTTGCACATTAAAAAGTAGTGTAACCAATAATACATTACTCTGAACATCAAGATTCAAGAAATATGAAAAAGTGCAGTACATACTGAACAGAGATAACCAGTTTCTAGACATAAAGTGAAACCTACCAAAGCAAGCTGTACAAAAAGAGGCCTATGCTTCTTTTACAAAGAACAGTTTAATCCTGTTAACAGATGATAAGAAAACGTACTTGTCGGACATTTCAGAAAGCATTGCACTATCTACCCATTTATATATTCATGAATGGAAAAAAAGCTGCCTACTAATGTTTGCACACTGACTACTAATAAAACAAGAGAAATATACACATGTGTGTCGTACACAATACTGTAAGTCTTCATTTCCCCAATATACCCCCAACAATTGCACACATACTCTTATCTACGATCTAAAGTGCTATTTTCCACAGTTATGAAAAGAAAATGTTTCACATCGTGTTTGTAAGATCCTGATTCAAACAATTTAATAACTAAATCATAAATATTAATTTAGAAGAAAGGTTGCATTAGAGCTTTTCAAGACTCAACATTGATCCTCTAATATTGAAAATATACCAAACATGTTTAAGGTTCTTTGACCCATGCACTGCCTTGTTTCTGAATGCTTGTTTAAACTACTGTATATTTCATTTTTGCATCTAGCATGAATTCAAATCTAATAAAATACTTTGTGGCTCACGATGCTCTTCTGTACATCCTATCTTTGTATACAGAATAGCAATATACATGATTAAAAGTAAGACATGTTTCCCTATATCCACAGCTGAATCATGGAAATGCTTAGATTGAGTTTATGCTGGTGAGCTAAACTGGCTCCAAGGAACCTGTTTATTTACTGAAATTAACACTAGATCATGGACCAAACACACATCAAAATACATCTTTTATATTAACATTCATCCACACGCTCTTCAAGAAGAGAACATTCAACCAGAAATACCATAGTAACATTTTAAATGGATGTGAGAAATAAATAGCATTACAAAAGGTATATTGTAAACAGTTTTAAATCCCTTTACAATCAAACCTAAAGGGTGGTGCCTGATTCTGGGTTCAAAATGTCATGCAGCTACGGCAGGAAATGTCCATTAATATGTTAATAATGGAGTTGTGCAGGGTTTATATCTATCTTTTGCACACCACACTACGGGGCTACTTTCACAGCTGCAGGATGGAGATGATTGAGGAAAAGCAGGACCGACAAAACAGAATAGGGCAGTGAGAGGAGTGCAGAACAACAGATGGAGGGCGATTTGAGAGTGGAGAAAAATGAAGGGCAAAAAGATTTATTACTGGAGCCGACTCTTATCTCAGATCAGGCCAGATAGGAAAACCTAGAGTACGAACACGAGTGATCCTCACACATAAACACACACTCTCTCAGATCCAGAGGATGATGAGGGCAGGCTTTAAGACCTGCAGCATCCGGTGGTCTTCATCTCCTTGTTTACATACTCCTGGAGCTTAAACTTCTCAATGGGATCCTTTATAGAGCGGTGCTTCAGCTCCCTGAGACAAAAAGAGATTATAAGGTGAGTTCAAACAAAATGAAGCTAACCTAAACACTGCCAAGTATCATGTTGTGTCTTACGTTTCTCAAAAAACGAATGTCGGAAAGTGTTATGTAAGAACAACGTTTCAAGGTTCTTTATTTGTCATACGAACATAGCTACAGAGTAGTTATGTCGATGAAAATCTTAGGTCACAGGCTTCTCCAACAGTGCAACACAATAATATAGAAAAACAGACAAATATAGTGCAAGTAAATATTAAAAAGTAAATACAAAATGAAAAATAGTTTAAAAAAAGTGAAGTAGTGAAATAAGAGTCTATATGCAAGCTATTGGAATGATATATTAGATAAATAATTACTAAGTAGCAGATGAATGTTATGGATGTTGTTACACCAGCTCTATCATGTATTGTTTTTTGGATAAGTATATAAAATTCACATCAATCACATTTTTATATTCCTTAATGACAGTATTGTGCAGTTAGATCATCTTCATCTTACAATGAAGAAACGTGTCTTAATCAGACCGATGCACACCACTCGTACAGAGAGCGATACTCACTTCGCCACACCGTTGAAGGCCAGCTCTACATTGAGACCTGACCTGGCGCTGGTCTCCATGAAGGGAACTCCGAACTCCTGCAGAGTGAAAGCACTGACAGTTATTGGTGAATCTAGTTTAGAAGACCCAAAAAGATGTACGATTATTAAACACTTTTAAAGGCTCCTGCTTGACCGATACTCCATTTTCTTTTTCTTTGAAATGAAGACTGTTAAAAAAGTTTACAAAAGTTTACAACAGCACTTTTGCAGCACAACAGTGAACTAGTTTACTTTGGGTAAATCCAGCATAGATGTGATAAATATGTCTCCGTGCTTTCCCACTGCAGGGGAATTTGTCTCAGCCCAAAGCGATGATAACTGATGTTCCTCCTTACCTTCCAGTCTGAAGTTACTTTGTGACACTTGATGCTCCCACTTCTTGGGGGAATCTCTTGGCTGTCTGCCATGTGTTCTGTGTGCATGCAGTGAAGCAACAGTCGTGGAGATGGATGAAAGGAAATATTTGCTTCTGGTTTTAGTGCTTTGTGCTTGTATTTGTATCCACCAGGACTATGAAACTGTGTATGACCGGCATGATGAATACATCTTCTGCAGAAGGTCTTACAACTTTGATAGAAAATGACACAAGGCAGAATAATGATAATAATCTAGATCTGAGGTGTCTTTCTTTGATGTATAATAATACATTCGATTTGTAAAGCACCTTTCATTGCTCACAGCAATCCCAAGGTGCTACAGGAGGCATAATAAAAACAAACAAAAGTTGAACAAAAGTTTTTAAAAAGAAAGGTTTGTAGGCCTTTCTTGAAGGCAGTAGTGGTCTGTGGAGTCCTCAGGTGGTCGGGAGGGAATTCCACAGGTGAGGAGCAGCTGCACAGAAAGCCCGATCCCCCATTGGCAGAGTTTGGTCCTCGGGGGGCGAAGCCGAATGTTGGTTGTGGAGCGGAGGCTGCGTGTGGAGGTTTGTGTTGTGAGGAGTTCCTTCAGGTATGGAGGAGCGTTCCCGTGGATGCATTGATGGGCGAGCAGTGCGATCTTGTATTCGATCCAGAATGAGACAGGAAGCCAGTGGAGGGAATGAAGAACGGGTTGTTGTACTTTCTCACCCTCATCAGGATCCTAGCGGCACTGTTCTGTACGCATTGGAGCTTCTGAAGGCTCCCGCTAGGAGTCCCGATGAGGAGAGCGTTGCAGTAATCGAGCTTTGAGGAGACGAAGGCATGGACCAGTTGTTCAGCATCTGACAGGGAGAGTGTGGGACAGAGTTTTGCAATGTGCCTGAGGTGGTAGAAGGCGGGACCTGGTTTGGTGTGCCAACTAAAACAGCTTCTGTTTTGGAGCTATTGAGCTGCAATAAGTTTTGTTGCATCCGAGCTTGTATCTCCTCAATGCAGGTGTTAAGGGATGTTGATGGGAACGGTGATGATGATGGTGACAGTGAGGATGCTTGTGCGATAGGGTCTGTCTATATAGCTGCGTGTCATCAGCATAGCAATGGAATGATATTCAATGCTTGCTGATGACACGGCCAAGGGGCAGAGTGTACAGGATGAACAGAGTGGGCCCGAGAACCGACCCTTGAGGGACACCACAGGTGACAGAGTGTGTCTGGGACCTCGCACCTCCCAAGGAGACGTACTCTGTTCTTCCAGACAGGTAGGACTGGAACCAGCTCAGGGCGGAGTCAGAGAGTCCGATGGTGTGTTTGAAGCGCTGAAGGAGGATGTTATGGTCAACAGTGTCGAATGCTGCAGTCAGATCCAGAAGGATGAGGAGCGATGGGGATCCAGTGTCAGCCGCCATCAACAGGTCGTTTGTGACCCTGACCAGAGCTTGTATCTATCCTATTGGTTTGCAGGTGGTTCCTTTTCCTCAGAGCAGAAAGAAATGATCTCTGGATAATCCCAGCTTTCTTTAACATTCCTAATCTTCTCATATGCCATAGAAATTAAATCCTCCATTCAAATGCAGTTGGAAAATATCAAAGGATTCACTATAATTCACCTTTGCCAGCCTCTCACCATCTTCTCTCTTCACCACCCTCTCATGAGTGGCATCAGCCTGGTGAGACAGAAACACAGAGTCACACACTGAGGCGTCGTGCATCAACATCAGTGCGAAAAACCACAACATCCACCCCCTCACACACTGATCTGCTCGCTATTTGTCCACAGTTTACATACAAGCCTGTCCTGGTGTTCAGGTCTGATGGCAGCTAATGAGTCATGATTGACTCTCAGGATGCTAATTAGGCGCTGATATGGAGTGTTGTGGACTAAGAGACGACAGAGCTCCAAAGCAGAGACATCTGTTCTCTGCTCAGATGGAGGGACGTGAATGGCAATTATGAAAAAAAAGAAAAGTGTAGCAGTGATATTTGCAAATTAGCTGGCTGAGATAATGTCAGATGTTAGCTTTGAAAGAATAAGACAAATTGTAATTGGAGAGATAATAGCCTTTCAACAACATTGCATCTCTACAGCACATTGGGATAAGTTATATCAGACAACAGGCTACTTATTTGCCAGTTAAAAAATATTTTTTGAAAAAGATTTATTGCGAGACTTATCCCAGAAAAGTATGACAAAATAACTTTAGGCAGAACAATTGGCAGTATTGTCATTTAAGTCAATAACTATTTTATCAAAGAAAAGGTAATATAGTATTGAATTGAAACACAGCATATAGTGTTCATGTGTATAGAATATTTCTTCTATCTTTCCCACAATGCCTTGCCTTGTTTCCAAGCAGCATGAGCACCACATCCTGTTGAGCGTATTCATGGATTTCAGTCAGCCATGCCTGTAAAAAGATACAGGACAAAGAGACAAGAGAGAGAGAAGACGGAGGAGAGACATCATGAGTGCAAAAAAAAAACTAAAACCTGAGATAAGAGACAAGAAGGAAGAAATATCTGATACAAATAAAAATGGTTTCCGGGAAGGGAAACCTTGTCTGGGACTTGTCAAGGACAAGCCTGAGCACTTCATGTATTAACCCGAAAAAAGAGGAAGAGGAAAGTGGGAGCGACTACGACATGAAGATGGAGGAAGGAAGACATTTTTTTTGAACAGACAAAAAAAACGTAGGCAAGGACAAAGAGATAAAAGCAATAACTAGCATCTGAGAAAGATGAACACTGTGAGAGGGAAGGTGTCTGTAACACCCAGTTTAAATCAACACCGTCTGATCCATCCGTCCTTCCTTAACTACAGTTTGTACACAGGGGAAAGCTTTACAGGCGAACAAAATGCACTGTATGAGGCCAACAGCACTTAAAGCATCCAGTCATGAGCTTTTAATCAGCTCAGACGACACCTGCAGACCCCACCTGCTGAAATAATATCCCTCATCTCAGCACAAATCCTAATTAAACCACAGTGAATTACTCTACATTGGATTTCTGACTGAGGTGATTAATTGTCCTTTCCTCTGTTAGTCCTTCTCCAGAGCAGTTTCAAGGCCTCTGGAATGAATCAGTGATGACTGTATTCGCAAAGGGACTTCACCGGGGTCCCCTCCAGCCAAAGGTGATGTGAAATAACAGGATGAGATAAGAAATGTGTGGATGTCTGAATGCCTGAATATCAGAGAGGTTAAGAAAGAATATGCATGAGTCAATTGGAAGACTTAATATAAACAGTAGGTGATGCATCAAAATGTATAAAACATGCGCAATTATGAACTTGTTTCCATCTTTCAGTGTCCCATTTGCTGTCCGTAGCATTTTTAAACCTTCTCCCAGTATATTAGTATTCAGACGTAGTTAAACCCCCACACAGTGACCTGACAGTGGAGCCTCGAGCCTTCCCCCAGACAATGACACATCCAACAGAATGATGCACCACCCTCTACAGGCTCACATGGTTGGCATTGAATGACAAAATGCTCACACCCACAGGTGCTAATAAATAACAATATCTGCATTTTAGTCATCACCCCATACTACAAACTGAGAAAGTGAGTGACTTGCTGCCTGAGTCCAAATGCTTAGTACTCACAAGGGAGAAGATGACATTTAAAAAAAGAAAGTATTTATCCGTTTAAAACAAATAAAATCAAGAAATCAATGTTGAATCAGGTTTGTAATGTGGTGTGCTTAATGAGGTCAGAGAGGTCAGTTGGTTTGAGAGATGGTCGCCCTGAGTTTCATTAATAAGGCAGCCAGCTCCACCTGTGGGGAGTGGAGGGCAGATCAAGAGCTATATTTAAAGCGATAAGAAATAAGGTCTGTGTGAGCCCTCTGATTTTCTGAGATAGCTGAGAAAAGATTGCGTTTGGTCGTCTGAATTTGGCTTTCATCCTGTGCTGAAGGAGTGGAATGTCACCGAGAAGCATTTTCCATATGGATAATTACCTGCTCCATGCATAATTACATTACTTGTCAAGGATTTGTCAACTGTTTGCCATAATTGCTTTTTGAAAATGGCTCGTCTCTGAAGTCTGCTCATGCTTTTAAATAACCTGTTTGTATGAGGAAACCTGTGTCATTCAAATTAACATACTGCTGTGAACGTTTGGCCTTTGTTTTAAAAAGGTTGTTCATCTACCCCCCCCCCCTTTTGCACATTTCCCTCTCCCACATGAATTTGACAGCTTGCCTCTGTGACTCTCTCCATATGCTGCGATTACTGATGAAGTGTTTATAAACCATAGCTCGTAATTAGATCAGTCAGGTGGTTATTATAGCGCACTGCCACACGGGTCATTTCATAGATTCATCATTTACTCCAGAAGGTGTCACTTGTCACCCCCATCCAAGAACATTTAAGTCTCCTATTATCATTCATCGCGAATGACAAGTGGACAAACTGAACAGCAACAACAGATCAATTCAGTGTGATTTAGATATCATCATTTGAATATAAGGCAAGGCAAGTTTATTTATAAAGCACTTTTCAACACAAGGCAATTCAAAGTGCTTTATAAAAAATGAAAGACATTAAGAAAATGGCATTTAAAATCAGTCTAAGGGAGATTAGACATGTTGGTGCATTTATATGCTCCGATAGTTGATGCTCAAAAAAACAACACAACTGCATTTAGAGACCAGCCTCCAGCAAGTGATAATTGAAGAGTAAACAAGCTTACATAGATAATGACACTGTGATGAACAGCCATCTGAGAGCCATTACATCCCTGTGAGAAGCTGAACAAACAGTGCCATCCTGTCAGGTCTCTCCTCCAAACAATGTAAGCCTGAAACATGAGGCTCTGGAGCGACAGTATTTTACAGTAAAAAAAAAAAAAGCCAGTTGCCATACCTGAAGGAAGGAAGATTCATTTGAATTGAAGACTAATATCTGGATCTCTTGCCAAATGTCAGAGTACAACGTAGGGCTGCTCGATTATGGGAAAAATCATAATCTCTATTATTTTGGTCAATAATTGATATCACGATTATTAAAAACGATTATCCATTTACTTTGAAAACATCCAATTATTGAAAAAAAATGTGAACAGTATGTTTTTAACAGTTGATTATTCTGAACTTTAAGTATAATTCAACTGAAAAACTAAAAAAAAAAAAAAAGTTTTATTTCGATGTTTTCATAATTGTTGCAAGCCAAAATCGTAATTGCGATTAAAATACAATTAATTGAGCAGTCCTAGTACAACGTGGCCCAGTGGCAGAAGAGGTAATAAATGTCTCTGCTCGTTGCCTTGGCAATTACAAACAGTCTGGCACATCAGAGGCAGCTGGGAGTTTGTTTTGCATGCAAGGGCAAAAATACTTTACTACCTTTGGATTTCTCAGTAGTCAGGGCTCTGATGAATTAAAATGTTGATGCAATATTTGAATTTGACAAAATGAGAATTAGTTGGCATTTGCTCCAATATAGAATTCTTAATACATCGTTGAAACTCACACTGCTCAACTGTAGAAGTAAGAGACGATAACAAAAGGCAGAGAGGACGATGCGACAGAGGGAGAGAACGAGCGAACGAGCCAGAGATGTGACAGAGAGGGTGCCAAAAGGAAGCAAGATGGAGAGACAGACAGTGACACAGAAAGACAAGACAAAGACAAAAAGATCTTTCTTAGAGGAGGGAAGATAAAAAGGCAGATGGCTGCTGCGGTGTGACATTGGTGTGACAAGTTGTCACTGGTGGAGGTTTGTGAGGGTACTTCTGATGTTGCCCGATTTCCGTTTGTTGTCAATGAGAAGAAAAAGCAGAGATGTGTCCTGCATTGGGAAGACTAGTCATATCTGCTGGTAAAGGAATACTTCCTTTTTCTTCCAGAGACAGGGAGAGTTGTTTACCTACCAGAACCCAACAGCATGTCTAATCTTTACGTACAATTTCATCAGATAGTTTAAATCTCAGTTTCACATTCACCATTCAACATATAGGATATTTGACTTTGAGGTCTGTATTCAAATATATTGCCATTTCTCAAATTAAGGGATCAGTACCTAAACACGGGTTATGTATAGGCGCTTAAATATTGTTGAAATGATAGCTAGCTTGTGTGCTATCAAGACCCCTAGTTGTAAAGTATTGCTTGATTACAAGATGAAAACTGATAACACAACATGTGTTGCCATATTAAACTCTTTTCATAAAAAAAAAACATAACATCTGAATGGTGTCCTTGAACCAGACAGACGGCAGGAGTCTGCCCCCAACAACCGGCAGAGTCGCACTGAGCCATAGAGGAGAAAGTAGGACTTCTCCCCTGAGAGCAGGTTTAAGCTCCGAGAGGCAGCTCAGTTACATGATGTCACAATCTGACACGCAAGGAGGAGAAATCCTGTCACACATTCATGCAGGTACACAACCAACATCAATATTTGATTCATGCCAAACCAGGGTTCATAATTCTGTCATTGGCATTTTCAGATCTGCTTGTTGACATTTGTGGAATCACAGATTTTATTGGCACATCAAATATCTTCATGTGATCAAGTCCCTTTTGTATAGTAATACTGTACATCATAAGAAAGAATCAAACACTGAATACAACAGATAGTAAGCTGTTTTCTGTGGCCTGAAAGAGATGTTTATATAAGAGCAGCTGAACCGTCTGTCTGCTAGCAAACATGGGTGTGAGACATGTCTGGATGACTGATGTGCTTCAAAAAGCTGCAATGAGAGTGAGCCTGGTATAAAAAGGAACTATCCTCACCTCTCTCCACGCTCTCAAATTAGTTTATGTGCTGTAGAAGCTGAACATATGCATTGACCCTAAACCTGTGTCTTTCAGTCAGGGATAGGTTTATACCGGTGTAAACAAATAAACCTAATAAAAAGCTATTCATTTTGGAGTGGAAGCTTTGATTTATATTTAACCAACCCTGTGGATGAAAATACCAAATGGATGTTAGAATGAATAAAATGATTGCTGCTTTGCTGCAAGGAAAACTTCTCCTTGTTATTCATCAGTTTACTTTTTTATGGATATTAATACGATTCAGCTTGGCCATGAGCAGACGGCACAAAGACAAAACAAATTGCCAAAGGGAGAAAAATTACTGTTGAGCTAAGTATAAAACAAGGTCAACACAACATTCGCAGATTCAGGTTGTTTCTTGGAGAAAGAACAAGCCAAAAGAAAGTACTGGAAACCATGCCATGGTCTCTAACTTGCTCTGAAACTGCAACATGTGGACATATGTAAATATTCAGTTTCAGGTTAAAGTGTTAGAGAAAAGGCAAGGAAAAAAAGTCCTGACCAAACTATAACAACCACTAACTCCCCCAATTGGTTGCCTGCATTTTCCGCATACATATATTTGACTTCTTTGATGTGCCTCGTGTCCGTGTCATATTAAAGATTGTGCCATATTCTTTACTTT